CCATTCAAAAGAATACCAGAAACTATGCTATAATTTAGCACTCAACCATATAACCATAATGTTAGAACAATTCATTATTTCTGTTCACACACACAGTACGGAAAGCTTGCATTCAAATCCAAAGGTTCCTCTGCTCATAGAAGGATGACATTTTAGAGCAGTATGGCAAGCCTGCAAATCTAGACCCTATGTATATTGGACTATGAATAAACATTGCATTTTCCTCTTGAGATTATAATCCAGATTCTCATATATTTTTTAACATGAAAAGTTTCATAAACGTAACATAATGTTTTAAATTATTCCACAAAGGATTTGGTCCAAAACCCACCTTTCTAGTTTCCAACTGAGCTTCTTCTTGGCAGCACTGCCTGCAGAATGGATCCAATTGATTCAGATTGAACTGTCCAAGAAGGCTGCAAGAACTGCATAGCAAGTTACTGGAGAAGCCCAGTTCTCTGCAAGCTTCTGATGACAACTGTGCTCCATATACACTTATCTGAAAATCAATACAATTTTATACTTTAGTATTAAATTAGTTGTTTAAGAAAGGAAGATTTTAAATGCTTTAATGATTAGGAAGAACAAATAAGTCTCTTTTGACCTTTTTACAGTAACGCCTAGTGGTCTGCCCATAAGTGCAAAACACCACCTTATTTTGAAGAATGGTCTTAAACAAATAGTGAATTCTAGCCACTCATAATATGTATATTTCAGGGTATCAGACCTGCCAAAATTCATTTTCTGACAACTCTACTGTTTTCCTATTGCTAGATCCAAATTAAGAAAAAAACAAACATAACATAATGAATCAGCTGAAATGCACATGGCTACAGCTCTCTAAAGCCTGCTGTTTCAAAACAATTTCAGTAAATTTCGTATCACCAAAAACACACTTGGCAAATAAGTATAACAGCTAAGCTCCGGAAAAGCACAACCAGGGAGTGATGAAATGGACCAAACTGCTCAACAAGGCATCCAAGTAGGATTTTAATTTCATGTTTGCATTAACGTTACAGGAAAATCACATACTAAAAGTGGAAGTGTAGATAAAAACCTGCAATTCTGATTTACTAGTAATATATTAAAATAGGCAACTCAATTACATGGCTTCTATGTAAAACACCAGTTCTGTTTTTAAATGAGCAGCAAAAACAATTTTACCAACTATCCCAGCACTTAAATGATATTTGGGTTTTGTTTTCACATTCCCACTTCCCTACACAGGGACTTCTCACACCCTAGCTTAAAACCTTTCCTTTCAGCTGTATGCTGGGGTGGGGGGAAGGTGAGAGAGGAAATTAAGAAAGGAAAGAAAGGAGACAGTGTTCCCAGATGCTTCTTGGTGTGGGTGAAAGACCTTGGGCAAAACCCACAACACCTAAAACACCGACAAAACAATCAGTAAGCATCTCTGTGTTCAGAGAAGAGTGAGATGATACCAGCAAACTGCACTGGATGATAACAGACCAAGAGTCAGAAGAATTATGCTGGGCCAAACAGAAAAATACAGAAGAAAAACTAAGTTTGTCCTTCGGTAAATCAGATTTCTCTTCACATTCACCCATCATTTAATATATACAGCATACCCAAGTAAGGTAGATACAAAACCCATTTCCTCCCCTGAAGTGGCCCACCCATAGGCAAAGACATGTCACTAATGTGACAGATAGGAAATGTTATGGATTAGGAATTGGTAGAAAATATATTAGGTGCCTCATTATTCTGTTTCTCTGTATCTGCTAAAAAAGTTAAAGCATGAACAGAAAAGTATAATATACAGGAAATTATTTTGAAATTACTATTCTGTCAGGCAGAAAGCTATTTTTCTTCTTCCTACAGGACACTACTAAAATAATTTCTATATATGACAGCAGGCAAGCAAAAATGGGACCCTATTCTACTGGAATAATCTATTATTTATCCTTTCTGAGGGATACTGGCAATAAGAAATATAACAAGACCACAGTAGTATAGAAAATCTAAGGAGTATGCCAAACACTGCCAAAGCTACACTTGAATTATTGTTCACTTATTAATGATGACGACAGTAGCTAAAAGTTTTCTTGCACCTTGCTGCTTGCCACCCACCCCTTTTATGCTATATTGTCATCTTTTCCTCACTTTTGAATCTATTCACCTGGAAGCAAAAATGGTATTACTGGCATTGTCATTTTGCTTCCACCAGCAACACTCCTCACACCTCTCCCCAGCACAGCTCTAGAACATCTGCGTGCATAAGGCCAATATGCTCCTGCTTTTTTTTTTTTTTTTGGTTTGGGGGGGGGGGGGGGGGGGGGGGGGGGCGGGGGGCCAACAATTGGGGGGGGGGGGGGGGGGGGCGTGACGGCATGGGACCAACCAAAACCAAACAGTGAATGAAAGCAAGCAAAGTCTCCATTACAAGAGAATTCCTCAGTGAAGAAGTTCTGGTTACATAGAAGCTCAAAACAGCTTGAGAATAAAACCATAGGGTGGGGGATGAGAAGAAGAAGGAAGGAAAAAAAAAAAAAAAAGGAGGAAGAAACTGGCTCTCCCTAGGATTTTTCCTCAATTTTTAGTACCATAACTATTGTACTATCCTGAAATAATAAATATTCTAGTTATAATAAATGTCTCTGTTTATGATTAGAAAAGAACCCTCACATTTCAGAAGCTAATTTCCCATCAGGACAAGATAATTTCAGCTACTTAGCCAATGATGTGCCTCATTTCAGCAGCGTGCTCTCCTTTAAAGCTTTAACAATAAATACACATTACACGACTGCTTTGCTTTCACATTAGATAATTTAATATACTAAAGCAAATGCAGCATCGATACAAATTGCTTTAGGAAGTACTTAATAGTTATTAGAGTGAAACATTTGAACAGGTCTTTTGTATAACCTCAGGTCTCTGGAACTCAGGTGGGTCAGAACTTTAAGGGCATCAAGTGCACTAAAATAGAGAAAGCTGACCGGTCTGGAAAGCCTCGAGGGATAGTCTTTCACAGGGCAACCTTCTGTTAGAAATCAAAAGCCACCTAGCTTCACTTTTGAAACCCATTCTTAAGTTTGTTACCCGGGTCACGAGGTTTATAACAACACACAAACCCCATTAAAAAAAATAGGCGAGGAAGCCTGTAAGTTTATTTCAAGAGCCACTACAACACCCACACCGATGGCCACGTTTTCTAAGCTAACAGGGCAAACCGGGGCCAAGGCGAAGAAGGCGGCAGAGGGGGGCTCAGCCTTCAAAACGCGGCTCTCGCAGTCTGCAGGAGGAGAGGCAGAGACAGCAGAAGGGAACAGGGCAGAAGCAGAGAACAGCCTCCGACAGAGAGAGCAAGAGAGGAGGCCACGGAGGCAGGAGAGGGACGAGGCACGGGACGACGCCTCGGGGATGGGATGGGATAGGCAGGGCAAGGCCCGCTGCCTCCGCCTCCCGCTACGGGACACGTCTCACTCCCGCCCCAGCCCCCCTGACACCCTCTTTCTCTCAGGAATTCGCAGCCGCACTCAGCCCCGAGCGCCAGTAAACCGGAACGGCCTCTCACCGCCTGCAGCCCCACTAACAAGCAGAACCAGCAACGCCCCAGGGCCGTTAGCTCAGCGGCCGCCGCCATCTTGGTGCCGGAACGCTTCTGCCAGCGTCGCCCGGAGGCCGCTGAAGGACCTCACCCATGGCGGATGGCCGATACGCTGCCTGATGCGGAAGAGGGTAGACTTGCTCCCGACCCTCGGCACCACAAGCAGAAAGACGTAACTCAGAACCCGCGAGGGAAGTCTAGAGCAAAGCGATTTTGGTCTGTTCAGAGCAGCGCTTCACAGAGGGGCTAGAGGAGATGCCGTTCCCCAGCCTCAGTCAGGCATAGCAGAAACAACCCCGAGCAAGGTCCTTTCTCATCCCGGAGCGTTGCTGCAAACCGGCATATGGGGCCCTAGACCCAGCGATTGGCAGCCGGTCCGAGCAATGACGTTGCGTCTTTCCCAAGTGCCGCGGTGCCTGTGCCCAATGAGAGTGGGCAGGTGGGCGGGACTTGAAGAAGGGCCTCCCAATCACGAAGGGTCGCATGTAGGCGGGACATGGCCTCGCTCCGGCAGCTCGGGGCTGAGGGGGGAGGAGGCGGAGTCAGAGCCCTGTGGGCGGGGCTTCGCCTGAGCTGGGCCAATCCAGTTGCGGGAGAGGCGGGGTGGCGGTAGCACCGCCCAATGGCGGAGGGCGCGGGGGCGGGTCCCGCCGCCGGGAATCGGTGGTGGCGGCGGCGGTG